TCCTTCACAAACCCCTCACCGCTCACCCCTTCCCCCCGCCGGCCCCGCGGCCCAGCCCGGCCCCCTACTGCTGGGATGGAGGCTGCGGAAGGGGGTCGGAGGCGCTGGACCGGAAGCTGCATGTCGTCACTTCCGTCAGATAGCGGAAGGCCCGATCCTCCCGACTTGAGGCCGGCTTTGCGGCTACGCATGCGCGAGCGGCGGAAGAGAGCCAATGCGCATGTGCGAGCAGGGAGGCGGGGGCCTTAAAGGGGCCGCGTCCCTGAAAAGGCTCAGCACTGCCACCCAGGGGACAGAAGGGGTTGGGGTTGGGGGGGTGTTCTGAGGGGTCTGAGGAAGGGAACAGAAGAACGGCTGGGGGTCTCATAGAGATGGAGGGCCCTGGGGTGCCTAGAAGTAATGGAGTCTTGATGATCTTTAAGGTCTTTTCCAACCTGGGCAATTCTATGTTTCTATGAGAGCCTTGGGAGGGGGGTGGGATGAAGCTCTGGGAGCAGCCAGTGGGGAGGGAGAGCCTTGAGTTNGGGGGGGGGGGGGGGGGGGGGGGGGGGGGGGGGGGGGGGGGGGGGGGGGGGGGGGGGGGGGGGGGGCTCAGTTGATCTGCTCCTCCTCCCAGGTGGAGGTGGGGATGGCGCTGTAGGGGTCGATGATGAGCTTGGCGCAGCGAACCATCACAGCCAGCAGGAAGAGGCACGTGAGCACCATGAAGGCGATGGCGAAGCCCTGATCCACGTCGATGGCCATTGGGGCAGCACTCAGGCGTGCAGCCTCAGCCGCATCCTGCAGGGCAGAGGAGAGTGGAAAAACAGAAGCAGCGATCATAGGATAAAGGACCCCACTGTTCCCAGTGGCGTCCCTTCCAGCTTCCCTTCCTTGCACAGCCTCCCTGCTTTCCAGGAAAACCCGGGTTAAAATATGCCATTAATGTTGGGTGCAGCCATACTGGTGGTTGTTGGGCACAGCAGGACTTGGCTGAGCCCCCACAGAATCATGGAATCACAGAATCATGGAATCACGGAGTCATGGAATCACGGAATACCTCGAGATGGAAGGGATCTGTAAGGATCATTGAGTCCAGCAGACGTGGCTCGGGTTAGGAGGGGACAGGAACGTGTGGGAAAGCCATGCTAAGCAAACAGGGGTGTACAAACAAGAGCAAAAGAGAAGGTTTGTTCAGGCCGGTGCCAGGAAAGCCACCAAACTCACAGATTTGTTTGTGTTCATAATTCTCCAGGAGCAAGCAAACACAGCCCCCATGAATGCCATCACCCCATTGAGGTGGGACCCCAACCCCCCCAGCTCTGAACACTGTCCTGTGTGTGCTGAGCGCCCCTTACCTCCCTCCAGATGGACAGATGGACGGACAGACGGACTGCCTGGCCCTGTGTCCTGCCTGTCTGTGGCTCTCCCCAGTCAATTGGCTTCATGAATAGTGCAGGGATACGGTGACGACGTGGCCTGCTGTCACCTCATCGGGCTTCATGAATACTGCAGGGACACGGAGGCACTGGGGCTGGATGTCACCTCTCTGGGCCTCATCAATACTGCAGGGCCGTGGTGACATCAGGGCCATCAACAACATTGCAGGGACACAGCAGCATCACCTTTCAGCTGCTCCCTGCAACGGGGAGAAGCCATCCTGTGGATTAAAGGGGTCACGAAGCACTCAGCCCCTCCTGCCAGGCTTTGTGTGTGGCTCTGGTTGAGCAAATTGGGCCCCCCCCCCCCACCAGCAGACAGAGGTTCCCCACCTCCCCCCGGCCCATGGGGTGACCTGCAGTGGGGGCAGAGGCTGCTGTGGGCTCTGAGCAGTGCAAAGCTTTGGGAAATGCAGCACTGAGCTCTGAGATGCTCTGCAGTTTGGAGCTGCCAAAGAGTGGTGCAGGAAGGAGGAGCAGCACCTCCAGCAGCACCGCCTCTTCGTTTGGTTGTATTTATTATATTATCAATCCAAATCCCACTCCTGATCCCAATCCCAATCCCCAGCTCAATCCAAATCCTAGTCTCAATCCCAGCCCCTCTCTCAGTCTCAGTCCTAATCCCAATCTCAAACCAAATCCCAGCCCCATTCCCAACCCCAACCCCTCAATCCCAATCCCAGTCCAAATCCCAATCCAAATCCCAGTCTTAATCCCAATCCCGATCTCAACGCAAATCCCAGTCCCGATCCCAACCCCTCAGTCCCGATGCCAATCCCAATCCCAGTCCCAACCCCAATCCCAATCTCAACACAAATCTCAGCCCAAATCCCAATCCCAACCCCTCAATTCCAATCCCAGTCCCGACCCTAATCCCAATCCCAACTCAAATCCCAATCCTAATCCCTCAATCCAAATCCCAATCCCAACCTCTCAGTCCGAATCCCAATCCTACTCCTAACCCAACCCCCCGTCCAAATTCCAACCCCTCAATCCCAATTCCAATTCCAATCCCAACCCTAATCCCAATCCCAATCCAAATCCCAATCCCAACCCAAATTCCAGACCCAATCCCAACCTCTCAGTCCCAATTCCAGTCCCAATCCCAATTTCTCAGTCCCAATCCCAATCCCAACCTCAATCCCAATCTCAATCCAATCCCAGCCCAATTCCCAATCCCAGCCCCTCAATCCGAATCCCAATTCCAACCCAAATCCCAATCCCAACCTCTCAATCTGAATCCCAATCCCAACCCAAATCCCAATCCCAACCCCTCAATCCGAATTCCAGTTCCAATCCCAACCTCTCAGTCCCAATCCCAATCCCAACCTTAATCCCAATCTCAACCCAATCCCAACCCAAATCCCAATGCCAGCCCCTCAATCCAAATCCCAATCCCAGCCCAAATCCCAATCCCAACCCCTCAATCCGAATCCCAATCCCAGCCCCTCAATCTCAATCTCAATCTCAATCCCAATCCCAATCCCAATCCCAATCCCAGTCCCAATCCCAATCCCAATTCTCATCACATTCTTTCGCTGGGGACAAAACAAATAAACAAAGTGACGTCATCACTCCCGCCCCCGACCACGCCCCCTCCGTGACCACGCCCACCCCCCGTGACCACGCCTCCCTCTCGCAACGTGGGCGGGGCACTCACTCTTTACGCCACGCCGCCCTTTCGCCCCGCCCCCTCCACGGCGGACCAATAGCAACGCTTCATTCCCCAGTTCGCCCCGCCCCTCGAGGCGGGCGGGTCGCGCTGCGCGGCGGCGCGGAGCGTTTTCCTGCGCCGCCATCTTGGCCGCGGCGGCGGTGCTGAGGGAAACGGGGGGGGGGACGGGGGGGCGGCGGCGGCAAGGGGACGGGCCGCGTTATGGCCGCCACCGCCGCCAACCCGGGTGAGCAGCGCGGGGTGAGGGGGACGTGCGGCCTTGGGGAGGGCTGGGAGCGGGAGAGGCGTTCCCTGTGGAGGGGGGGGTTGAAATGGGGCTGAGGGGAGGTTGGCAGCTCCTGTAGTGGGGGGGTGAGGGGATGGGGATGGGCCTGGAGGTGGGGGGGGGTCTTGTGTGAGGGGAGATGGGGGTCTGTGTGAGGGAAAGGGGGTCTGCCTGAAGGAGAGGGGCTGAGGGCTGCATGGGGGGCTGTCTGGGGGTTGAGGGGGGGGGGCGGTGGAGGGTCAGGGTGCTGCCCCAATGGGGACCCTGGGGGTGTGAGTGTGAGGAAACGGGCCCGTGTTGGGGGTGGGAGCAGTGAGGTGGGTTTGGTTGAGCAGGGTGTTGTTTTGGGGGGAAATGAGGGGATTTGGGGTCGTGGAGGTGTGTGGGGGGGTGTTGTACCCTTATGGGGTGCTGTCCTGCCATGCAGCACCAGAGCTGTGCTGCTCTCTGCTGCCCTTTATGGCTTCTGTTGCTTTCCCCCCCCCCCCTTTTTCTTGTGGAGGTTTTTCTTTCATGATCACCAATCGCAGCCCGCCCAGCTGCTGGGATGGAGGAGCTCTTCCAGATCCCCTCAGTGCCTGTTTTATGTGTGAGCTGGGCTGCGATGCCTGCAGGAGGCACAGAGCTCAGCCCGTTCTGCCCTGTGGTCGTTGGCCAAATGAGAGCCCTTGTCTGGGCAGCTGGCTGTCATTGGCAGCATGCTAAGCAGGGAAGATGATGAGATCCTGAAAGCTCCGTTGGATTTCCAGCCAAACCCAAAGTCAGTCCATCCATCCCTGCAGTAACCTGGTGGCTGCAGGGTTATGGGTGGCTGAGATCAGAACCTGAGCTTCTGTGTCTCTTTTTTTTCTTGTTTTGCTGCGATATTTTTGTGGTTGCTGACTGCTCTCGCTTGTGGCTTGAGGCTGATGGGGTGTGGGGTTGTGTGACTTGTTCAGCTTTATCAAGGATGATTCGATGTCACCTCTCAAAGATGACTTTTTTTAAAGCATTCTAATGGGATAGGAAGCGTTTGTGGCTTCAGATGCTGAGAAAACACATTGGGGTGCTCATCTGTGGTGGCTGAGGTGCAGAACTGACGCTGTGGTTTCACGTTGTGAGCTGAAATCCTGCAGCAATCCCATATTCAGAGATTGCTTGGGAAAAAGAGAACCACACACACACAGCAGAGCCACCAAAAAGGAGCGTTCCTGAGTCAGGTTAGCAGCAGATGGATCTGAAGGGGAAACTGTCAGATTTGTGTTCTCCTCGCACAGCAAAAGGTGCTCCTGGTGTGCTGCAGCATCCCAGGGAGGCAGGGCTGTGGTTCAGCCCATCAGCTGCCCTCGTGGTGGGGAAGGCTCTGTTGGGAGCTGCTCAGAGCAGTTTGACAGATGCAGGATGTGCAGATCAGGAGGAAAGGAGAGCTGTGTTGTGCAGAATGAGAGTGGAAGAGGCAACGAGAGTCAACCCCGTGAGGATGTGGTGAGTGGAGAAAGGAAAACGTTTGTGAGAGCACCACAGAGTGTTTGTAGCCCTCAGAGTGGTGTGCTACGTACAATAGGAAAGGCTGAAAACCAAAAAGTTCTCTGGGAAAAGAAACATGGACATCTGTGTTTAATAGCTGACAAAACAGCTCTGACAGCAGAGGGAGGTGCTTGCTCAGGGTTAGCTCCACATCCATAGAGGTTCCCAGCTCGTTAATTGCTTAATGGGTTTCATGATTAAGTGGGGTTATCAGGACGCTTCTGAGGCTGTGTGGATGAGTGGGTGGTTCATCAGCTGGAGCTCATGGAGTGCTGTGGTGTGAAGGGGATTCCTAGGGGATTTGTAGGGGAGGGCTGCACTGAGCTCTGTGGGGAGTTGAATCATGGGTGGGTTTAAATCTTGGTAAGCAAAAAAATGTGCTGAGCTGCACCCAGCCCTGGAAAGCAACCTTGTTCTGCTGGGGTTGGAAACAGCCCTCAGGCTGCTGCTGCTGCCCATCTCCTCAATCACAGCTTGGAATGGTTGTTTTTTTTTTGTTAGGGACCATTTCTGAACTTGTGGAGATGCCAACGATTGCGACACAGCCCTTCCTATGGGGCCGAGCTGCACGGCCCCCCCTCGAGGTGCCTTTCTCTGTGCTGTCCTCCAACCTCTTCCATCCTAGGTCCAGCTGTTGGATGCATTGCACTCATGCTGGCATGTCCCCATTCAGGTACACAGAGGGATCCTTAATTTCTCTCTGCTGCCCTTTGCAGAGGAACCATGCAGCACTGCTTCCTTCCCCTGCCCTGAGCCGGAAATTCCTCACTCCTTAATGAACACAGAGCAGCACTCCAGGAACTTTCTTTCTTTCTGCTCGATTTGTGGCCTTTCTGAAGAGCCAAAGACTCCCAGAAGAAAGGAAGGAACATTTTATCCTGGTTTGCTTGCACCCAAAGCAGCCCTTTTGGCTGCCAGCTGTCTGCATGATGGGATTTACCTGAGGGGGAGGAAGGCTGCATAGAGGGAGTCCTCCATCAGCAGCAGTGCCTGAGGCAGCTCCAGCTGAGTGTGGAGAGGTGGGGGATGATGGAGATGGGCACTGGCAACCATCCAGCTTGGAGGATGGATGGCATTGGCACTGATTTCCCAGCACAGCCCTCATTTCCTCTTGGTGCTGCTCAGGTTCTGCTGTTGCAGGGAAGTGTTGCAGTCAGCTCTGTGGGCTCTGGAGCTGCCAGCTTTGTTTGCTTCGTGCTGAAGGGAAGCACAATAAGGAGGAAAGCTCAGCAACAGCACTGTGTGGGGAGCAAAGCAAGTAGCAGTGCAGGCTGGCAGTGTTACTGTGGGGAAAAGATGCGTTCTGGAGGAAATAGCAGAAGTTGTAAGGGTGTGTTTGCTGGCAGCAAAGCAAACTGCCCAGCAGAGGTGGTTGGTGGTCACACAGCCCTGCTGCAAACTGCCAGCACAGCCGTGTCTGCCCACAGAAGTGCTGCTGCTGGGTTAAAATCTGAAGGAAAAGAGGAAAAAGGGTGAAAAGCAGATGATGCAAATAGCTCTGTGTTTTTTTTTCTCTCCTGGAAGGGTGGGATGTGAAACGTTGTGCTTTGCTCGAGGTGAGGAGTTACCATTGGGCATTGCTGCACAGATGTTTTCATGGTGCTGCTGCTCTTTGCTTCTCACCTAGCAGTGCCTGTTGCCATTGGCTCAGCTGAGATTTCAGTGTATCAGAGCTTTGGGCTCCCTTTGCTTTTATTTTTGGTGTGTTTGTGAAGCCTAACTTGGATTCATCGTGGCAGTGTTTGGTACGTAAGCAGCTCTCAGTGCTGTGTTCATCAGCTCTGGTGGGTCTGTGTGTCCCCTCTGCCCCAACACAGCAGCATTGCTGTGATGCTTTGGGCTGTTTGAAGCCTTCAGGGCTCTCTGCACAGCTCAGCTGGTGAAGGTTGTGGTGGGAGTTGTGTGGCTGTGCTGCTTTGCAGCAAATCTCAAAGAAGCACAGCTGCCAAGTATGGATAGAGAAGGTTTATTTCAGAACAACATGGGGAAAAAAAACCAAACCCAAAGCCTTTTAGGCTGTGTGTTAACTCTGGGTCTGGTGCCCCTTTTGTGCTGGTTCTGTAGGTGCTCAGCATCATTTTGGGGAAGAGCTGCTGTGGGTGTGTGGTCAGCTGGGGACTGGTAGTGGTGCCTCTGGTGCTGCAGAGTAGGAACTGCTGTCTGTAAGGCTGTGGTTTCAAGGTGCCTTCGTTAATTCTTTATCTTCTGAGCCTGGAGAAGACCCCTCATTGAGAGGTGCTGTCGGTGTGGTGGAGTGAACCCACAGCTCTTCTCCCCTTCTGCAGAGCTGGGAGTGGCTTCAGCCCCTTCCCGTGATCACATCAGGCTCCTCCTCTGTCTGCAAAGGAGGCTACAGCTTTTAATTCAACGATCCAAGCTTCTGAGCTGATGAGAACAGCATGTGCTCCAAGCTGGAGATGGGCCCTTAGTGCAGAGCGTGGGGAGGCAGCAGATGGGAGGGCTGGGAACACATAGCACAGAATCTCTGCTTCAGACACTGCGGTGCCACTGCTGTGAAGGAGGGCTGAGAATCTCCTCCCATCTGAGCTGGAGGAAGGTTTGGAGTCAAAGTGGTTTCTTTTTCTTCCCCCACCTCCCCTGTTTAGAAATGGCATCAGATGTCTCCTCGCTGGGCGCAGCCGTCGGCTCAGGGAATCCTGGGGCTGGAACTCAAACTGGAGGAGCCATTGTGCAGAGAGCAGCCAAGAGACGTCCTGGGTGAGTGTGAGCCCAGCCTGGGTGAGTGTGAGCTGTGTGTGGGGCAGCCAGCCTTCTGCTTGTCTGCTGGTAAGCCTCTATACCTGCATTCACTCCTACTTTCCATGCTAGGCTTTATGCTGCTCGTTTCCCTGTTCTGTATTACACACAAAAAATGGAGATGGAAGAGTTGGGTTAGAGAAAGGGCTTGTTCCCCAAGGGGTGGAGCAGTGGGATAAGCAGGTCAGTGCTGCAGTGCAACAGAAAGCAGGGAATGTCTGTGCCCCACTCAGACCCTCCCAGCTGTGTGTCTGTGGGGGAGGGTGCAGGGAAGCCTCACTGTGCTCGTGGGAGGCTTTCTGTTTGCTGCAGATGCCTCTGCAAATTAAAAGGATATTGAGTGGCTTCTCTTAAATTCCTGGCACAAGAAATCTCCTCTTCACTTCCAAGCTAATTAAAACCTCTCCCTGCCCTCCTCATTGCTCACTTTCCTTCTCCTCCATTCGCTGTCACTCCCACACGCTGCCTGCTGCTCCTTCCTCACACTTCATTTAGGAGCACAGTGCTGCCTCTGCGTGCCACTTTTCCATCCTGGAAGGAAGTGCAGCAAAAAGCCCTTTCTGTCCTCTCACATATACTTGCTAGAGTCATGTTTGATCACAGTTGATCCAAGCTTTTGAGCAGTGGGGTGATGCTGCTCAGTCCCTTGGGCAGTGAGGAGCAGTTGTGGCATTGCTGCTCTGACATCTGGAGCCTTTGAAGCAGGAATGCAGTGGTACTCAGACTCTCTCCTGAGCTGTTTCCCAACTCTGTGCTGTGCACATAAGAGAATGTCTTCTCTTCTCCTCTAAACTTTGTAAATTGTTTTATGTCAGTACTTGGGGTTACTGAAATCCTCCTTTCAAATGTTGCCTGAAGGACACGGGGGGAAAAACAGCTTGTGAAAGGGAATCTGCTGGTTAATAATTCTCATCTTGCTTGTTTTTCAGGCTTGATTTTGATGATGATGGCGAAGGGAACAGTAAATTCCTCAGGTGAGGGAGAGCCTTATCTACAGAAGTTCCTGCTGTGTGGTCTGGATGCCTCTGCATCCCCCCTGAGGAGGAGCTTGCTGCTCCAGCAGCACAGGGGGAAGGAGGGGCTCTGAAGGAGGCAGTGCTTCGCTTCCTTGGACTCTTTTCTCTTAGTAAGCAGTATTCCTCCATCTGCAGCTGTTGCCAAAGCTGCTTTGCACGTGGCTGTGAGTCTGGAGGAGGGCTTTGGCTAGGAAGGGGTCCTTTCACCACTTCACATGGTCTGCACTGAGGGCTGGGAGCAGTGCTGCTCCCCGTGGTGCTACAGAGCTCCGTGCCAACACAAGGCAAAGCAGTTCCTGTGGCTGCTCAGCCATCTCCTGGTTATTTTGGCACTGTAAGAGCACTGCTGTTGGCCAAACCCCTCTTTGTTGTACAGAAAAACCTTCTGCCCAGTGCTTTGTTGGCACCACAGCGAGGTGCTGAGCTTTTGTTGGTGCCTCAGATGTGTGTTTCTGCGTTTACATCTGTTGTGAAGATGCTCCAATTCCAGAGACCTCCTTGTTCCTGTGGAGCTGGCAGGACTGCAGGCATCTCCTCACGATCCATATGGAGTGCAGAAGATTTGGAAGCTCTTCTGTCATTTTCTTGCAGTCTCACTACATGGCTTAGGGTTGGACAGTTAATTAGAGATGACTGCAAATGGCCTTGGGGTTATAATGGGCACAGGGGCTGCCCCTAAAATCCTCTGCATGTAGCTGCTGGTTTGTATCTCCAAAGCTCAATTGAAGCCATTGCTGTGTGTGTTTTTGCTTGAATTACTGAACGAGATGACCTTGATAGAAAAGTGATGTGGAAAACAATCTAGGTGATAAGAATGTCCAGCCTAATTACTGGAAGTAGATAAATGAAGAGTGTGGTTCTGGATTGTTGATGCACAGCAGAATGCAGTTGCCTGCTCCACACCAGGTGTTTTCTATGTGATTTGATAAACTTTGTCCTCTCAGTGTCTTTGGAATAAGTGTGAACGTGTAATAATTATTTAATAATTCTTCTCCCCTCCTCCCAGGTGTGATGATGACCCAATGCCAAATGATAAGGAGCGATTTGCCAGGTAAGGATGTGCTGTGATGCACTTTGGTTGTCCCTGCTCTCCATCAGTGAGCTTTCTCTCCTTTGAAGGAAGGTGTACTTAACACCAAAGGACCCAGATATTTCCCTTGATGCTTTTTCTGAACCAGTTTATTCCAACTATGAGGGACTGATCATCTTTCTCAGTATTTCAGCTGCTGCTTTGGGCTCTTGTTCTTTTTCTCTCTTGCTTAATTCAGGTTTTACTTGAGGTTTCCTGGCCAATCCTGTGCTCAGCTGTGTGTGATTTGTGTGCTCTGTGGTCAGCTCAGCAGAGGCTTCCTTTAAATGGAGTAATACTATGGGCAATGATTTGCCTCCACCTCTTGGTGTTGGTTTTTGTTTTTTTTTTTTTTGGATTTCTGAAGCCCGTGGAGCTGAACAGAACCATTTCATGGGTTTGTTTTGTTTTGGCTGAGCTGAGTTGCTCCTGTGAGCATCCTGAGCTCTGTGAGTTCCAGGCTGTCCCCATGGGGACCCAGCACTGTCCCCCTTACTGAGAGGAGGGTGGCTGTGCTGTGGGGCAGATCTGGGTGCATTGGGAGCATTGTGAGTGTGGGGCCTTTTCCTGTGCTTCCCCTGAGGTCGTGCATTGCAGTGAGATGGGTGGGATGGAAGTGAAGTTTCCTCAGATGTTTGCACTGTGCTGCACCTGGAGCAATGGGTTCCTCTCAGCATCTCATTTCATGGGGGTAAGGATGGCAGAGCCAACACCTGGGCTCGCTGGCACACTGATCATCCTCTTCATAACCAGTGGGGCTTCTGAACTGAGGCCCTCCAGCTTTTGTAAGTGGGTTGATTTGCTCTGAAATCAAGCAAAATTGGTGATATTTGGCATGAGCTGGCCAGCAGCTTTGTTCCCTCCTGTGAGCTGCAGGCTCACGTTGTGCTCCTCCTGTGTGCTGTACCCAGGACACACAGTGCAAGCCTTGCTATCTCTCTATGGCTGCCTCACTAAGAAGCTGCAGCTCAGGACATGACAGTTGTATGGCAGTTTGTTATCCAGGGCAGCCAGATCTCAAGGGGAAAACCACACCAGCCTTGGCAGAACAGGGTCTGCAGGTTCCTCCTGCATGCTGGTGGTGCAGGCAGGCTGCTGGGTCTGCTGCCTTGTGGATGGGACACACAACATCCATGTGTGCCACAGGGCCTGCAGCTGTGCTGACTGTAGCAGCATTGCATAGGTGTGTGGTGTTGGCTGTGAATTGTGCTGTCTGTGAGCCCAGCTGTCTTCAGATTTCGTTGTTTTTCCTTAAATCTGCTTTCCTGGTTTGTTCATAACACCAAAGAGGCTCTCCTTGATTTATTTCTTTTTCTTTCTAAAGAAAGGTCAGCTGAATGTGGTTGGGGCCCCATTTGTAGCTGTGCCATTAACCTCTTAATCTTGCACAGAGCAAACTGCACTCAGTCACACAACCCCCCTCTCTCTCCCCCCCCCACCTGTTTCACCATCTGATAAACATCTTAAAGCTTTAAAACAACCTGGCTGGCTGGCACTGCTCTGCTGTGTGAGGGTGCAGAGCACCCATTTGATTTCATGGAACCACTCCTCTGCAGACCAGGCGTGCCTGCAGGCCGGGTTTCCTTGTGCATCCTCCCACTTCTCATTCCATTCAACTTTTTTTCCATTGGAGCTTAGCTCACTGATTTTATTTTTAGGTCTGATGATGAGCAGAGTTCAGCGGATAAGGAGAGACTTGCCAGGTAGGAGAATGGAGATTGCAAGCATGGACCAGCAGAGTATTCCCTTTCCTTCGTGTCTCTCTAGGCATCCCTCCTCCTTTTTGTCCCCCTCTTCCCTCCCACTGCTGCAGTAGAGGACTTGAAAATGAACAGACTGCTGGAAATTGCTGTGTAATTGGAAATAAGAGGGGAAAGGCATCCAGTCCTGCTACAGGAATGTCCGTGGGGAGCACACAGAAGGATTTGTTCCTTGAAAGCTGCTGGGCTGAGCGTGCTTGGGCTGCTGCTTCACTCAGCACTGCAGCTTTGCTAACCTGTGCTGCTCAGGGTGCCACGGGCCTTCTTCTGAATGGGGTTAATCACAGGAATGCTGAGTTCATGTCAGAGCAGACATTCAGAGCTGTACTTATGCAGGTTGGTTATTTCTTCCTACCTCTTCATGGCCCTGTAAAAAAAAAAACATCCAGGGAAAGTAAAGCCCTTCCCATGAGAACAACTCAGGTTTACTGCAAACAGGGTTCTGTTTATTCCCTGGATTCCTGATTGTAGTTTTGTAGGGACTGTGGCTCTCACTGGAATGGTTGAAGCATTCATCTCCAGTGCTGCACTGTTATACCTTAACACAGAATCATATCCTGAGAGTGCACATCTGCAGCTGCTGGAGGTGTGTTGTGATGGGCTGCAGGAAAGCATTGCCCCAAAGTGAACCCAAACTGCAGAATAACAAAAAACAGCTGAAAAAAGCCATCAGGGTTTTTACTGCTTGCCACCCACAAGCTTTTTGTTCATAATTTATGTTGATAATTTGCAGAGAATGGCTTGCTTTGTGATTTGCCATCCTGCAGACTTGCCCTGTCACTTCCCTGGGCTGTTCCACCCTAGATTCATTCTTAGTATGTGGAGCTGAGAAGGCTTCAGTTCTGCTCAGCTGATCCCAGCTGCCTGCTTTTAAATACAGACCCCCACCCAACACAGCCTTCCCTAAATGGTGGTGCATAGCTGAAATATCTGTGGAGATAAGGAGGACTGAGAGGTGGGGCTGTGAGTGCAGCACACACAGCAGTGTTTTGTGGATTTATCTTCTATCAGTCACCCTTTCCCCTCTCCCTGGTAGTGAGTTCCTGCTGTCACATAGCATAGGGTAAGGAATACTTGGCAGTGAAAGCTCTGGTGGTTTCCCAATAGCTTTTTAGTGGAGGTGGCTTTGTTTTCACGCTCCAGCATACAGGTTTGGAGAAGCTGAATTAAAGGTGAGTGTGATAATTAAGTACTTTTTCTGACCTTGCAGTGAGGAGTGCAGTCACTGAACGGCTGCACACATCTGGTGCTGATCAGTGCTCCCTTCTTGTGTTTTGTCTTCTTTAACTCACTTGCCTGTCTGTGTTCCTCCCACACTCATCTCATTCCACGTTCCTATCACTGCTTCCTTAGATCCCATCCATCCTTTTGTATAGGAAACCTGGCTTGTAGGTTCTTTTTTGGGGAAAACCCACTCGGTGGCAGCGCTGGATAGGAAGGACCAGGTCTGAAAGGTGATATCCTGAACCCAGGGACCTGGGGAGGAATGTGCCTTGTGAGCAGGCTTGCAAAGGACCATGAAGAGCCTCATGAAGGGCAGTAGGTGGTCAGGGCTTGTTTCAGGTCTGTGTTAGAGCTGTGTGTGCACCCAGGGGCTGTCCCTGTTGGCCTCAATTGGTGCAGAAGTCAGGCCATGTTTGCTCTGAAGCTTCCCATTCTGCCACATTACTGTAAGGGGACCTCAGTGTAACAGAGGTGAGGTACAAGGTGAGGTTTGTCCATTGTAATTTAGATATCCAAGTCTTAATTGCAACCCTGGCCTCCTTATGTGGTTACTGGAGATGGAAGGATGTGTGCAATCCTCAACCAGGGAGCAGGATGAGCATCTGCTGCGTGCTGTGCTGCTCCTGATGGAGTCTGCTGAACCCCCCTTGAAAGCAGGGGCTGTGGTGAAGGAAGGAGTCCTTGGTTGAAGCGTTCCAGAGATGATGGAAAAGCTGCTTTGTCTTTTCAAGCAGCATAGCTTAGCTTGTAGCCTTCACGAGACAGCAAGTAAGCAGCGTGGCACAAAGTGAGGCTCTGTCATTTGAAGCAAGGAAGGTGCAGCTGTAGACTCTTCTCCTTGCACTCGTTCCTGCGTCCCTTTGTGCACGAGCAGCATGCAGGGTGCTTGCAGTCCTCCTAACTCCCAGTGGCCCCAATGCATCTCTGTGTTCTGCACTCTGGGAGCGTTGGGAAGGCAGCGGAACCTCCTGACCTGGTGGTAACTCCATTTTCCTGCTTTTCCTCCCAGGGAGAATCACAGCGAGATCGAACGTAGGCGGAGGAACAAAATGACTGCCTACATCACTGAGCTGTCTGACATGGTGCCCACCTGCAGCGCCCTGGCACGTAAACCAGACAAGCTGACCATCCTACGAATGGCTGTGTCCCACATGAAGTCCCTGCGTGGCACAGGCAACACCTCCACGGATGGCACCTACAAACCCTCCTTCCTCACCGACCAGGTGTTGGCTTTGTGGGGAGCGCTGCCATCAAAGAGCAGGGGGGATTAATTGTGGGAGCAGGCTGACCAGAGAGGCTGTAGGTGCCCTGTCCATCCCTGGAGGTGCTCAAGGCCAGGTTGGATGGGGTCCTGAGCAGGCTGGTCTAGTATTAAATGGGGAGACTGGTGGCCTAGCCTGTGGCAGGGGGGTTGGAGATTCATAATCCTTCCAACCTGGGCCATTCTGTGGTGGCAGAGATGGGAATCCAGGGGTTGGGGAAGGGGTGGCTTGGAGGGCATCACCCCTGTATCTCTGGAGTGAGAGTGATTGGTGTGTTGTGAACACAGGAACTCAAACATCTGATCCTGGAGGCAGCTGATGGTTTTCTGTTCATCGTGTCCTGTGAGACGGGGAGGGTGGTTTACGTCTCTGACTCCGTGACTCCCGTCCTCAACCAGCCCCAGTCGGAGTGGTTTGGCAGCACGCTGTACGACCAGGTGCACCCAGATGATGTGGGCAAGCTGAGGGAGCAGCTCTCCACCTCAGAGAATGCACTGACAGGTAATGGCAGCCTGGGGAGGGCGGGCAGGGGAGGGCAGAGCGAAAACCAGCAAAGGACTTGGATTAAAACCTTCCCTTTGTAGAAGGAACCAAACCCTGGTGCCTTTCTAACAAGGATCCTGCAGCCCCCCCTGAGAGTGCATCTAAAGGTACCATTGGTGACACTTCTCTCTTGATGGTTTCCTAATCACGTTGCCTGGTGCCTGTGCTGGGGAAAGGAGTGGAACTGCAGTAACCTCTGGATTCTCCTTCCTTCTTCAGGTCGTATCCTGGATTTGAAGACAGGAACTGTCAAGAAGGAAGGGCAGCAGTCCATGAGGATGTGCATGGGCTCACGGAGATCCTTCATCTGCCGCATGAGGTAATGGAGAGAACCTTCAGGGGCATCACTTGAGGCTGAAGCTGAACTCACTCAACTTATTCCAACTCTTTTTTGCTCATTGTGACATAACGTGGCACAGCTTTCCACGCAGAGCTAGCAGCTGACTTTATTTGCCCTTTGTTAAGATGGCTCTCTGCTGTTGTTATAGGAGACTCAGTTTCAAGTAACAATTTATTTCACCCCTACGTGTCACTCCTCTTTTTCAAGCACCCAGAATGAGTGCTTTCCATCTGTGTGATAGAAATTCAAAGGTTCATCCCCATTTATAGAGTACTTTGGCTAATTCAAGATGGTGAGATTGACATTGACCAAGAAAGACAAAAGCATTTCTTCCCCTCCTTACTCCTTATTCTTGTACAGGTGTGGCAACAGCTCAGTGGATGCAGTGTCTGTAAATCGTCTCAGCTTCATGAGGAATCGCTGCAGGTGAGTGAGATGAGGGTGATGGGCAAAGCCTCAGCATTGCTGGGAATCCAGGGGGTCACAGCTCTCCAGCAGAGTCCTGGGGGTGACTTGGGGCACTGTGAGCTCCTACAGCTCTTAGAAGAGTGTGAAGAGAACTGCTGGAGGAGGAACCAAAGTTCATCCTAAGAAAGATTAGACTTCCTTGACTCCAGACTTGAGCTTGAAGTCAGTTTAAAGCCATGTGTTCTTCAGACTGTTGTTGTTGGGCTCTAGTGGATGTTGTCTTTGTGTTAATTAATAGATGAGGCAGATTCTGACGTACCCACCTGGAAAGCAGCTCTGCACGAAAAGACCCAGAAGTCCTGAGGTCCCTTTTGACCTGAGTCTGTGTCCTCAGAGCTCTCATATTTACATTAAGTCTCTCTTTACCTCTAAGACATTCTGTGGAAGTTTCTTTGGAAGGCAATTACAGACCTTGCCTGACCTGATTTGACACCATGGCCTGATCAGAACTGCTTCTCTCTCCCAAGGAACGGCTTAGGTGCAACGAAGGATGGAGAGCCTCACTACGTGGTGGTGCACTGCACAGGTTACATCAAGGCCTGGCCCCCTGCAGGTAACAGCTCTGCAAAGCCCCCAGTTGTGCCTGAGGACACGTGGCTCTGAAGTTGTCCCCTCTGAGCTGAACGTGCAAGCAAATGCTTTTTTACACATCTGTCACTTTTAGCTGTGTTGGGACTGAACTGATTTTTAAGATGTGGGATGAGAGGTTTGTGTCTAAACCCTCTATAGAGGGCAGGAATCATGGTAGGCTGTCTGATTTGCTAGCTGGAAGTGAGAGAACTTAAACCATTCTGGCAAGAACAGGGAGTGGGGAGGCAGCTTAACTTACCAAATTCCTTCATGGAAAAGGATTCTGAGTTACAGAATGGGGTGGAGAAGTTTCTCAGAGCCAGAACTGCATGTCTGTCCTTTTTTTCTCCGAAATCAGCAGTTCTTCCTGTACTGACCTTGCTGGAATTTTTGGCACTCCTCTCTCAGGTGTTTCACTGCCTGATGATGACCCAGATGCTGGCCAGGGCAGCAAGTTTTGCCTCGTGGCCATTGGCAGGCTCCAGGTGTGTAGCATCTTCCAATGGTTCAACGTTCTTAAAAGTCTGTAGAGTTGAACTGTGTTCCCTCATGGCTACAGATCCTCCTGCAGGACTGGCTGGCCAGGACAGGGCAGCTGTCCCAGAGTCAGCTCACAGTGCCTGCCTTTTCTTGCAGGTCACCAGCTCACCCAACTGTACAGACATGAGCAATGTTTGTCAGCCAACAGAGTTCATCTCCCGACACAACACAGAAGGCATTTTCACCTTCATAGACCATCGCTGTGTGGCTACTGTTGGCTACCAGCCACAGGTGAGAGAATAGCAGGAGTTTCCTAAGCACTGAGCTGCTGCTCAGACTTGCTTTTTTCTTCTCCTCTTTTGTGTTTCACTGCTTGTCTAACAGACCTGGCCATACAATGCCCAGGGACCAAACCAGGCGTGTGTTTCTCCTCCAGCAGTTGCTTTTCATCCACTTTCTGGAGTGCTTTGATCGTGGATGGAGCTGGCAGCTCTGAGTTATGTCAGATGTCAATTAAGATTGCTTTTGCTTCCATATGAATTGGAGATCAAACGTTAGTCAGATGCTGTTGTGCTTCAGTACAGCACAGCAGGTCCTGCAGTTGGTTTGTGTAACAGGGATGGGAAGGGAAGGGGGGAGGGCTGGTGCTGGGGGAGCAGCTCTAAGATGGAACTGAGGGAGTGTGAGTTCCTGATGCAAACTGCCTTGATCTCTCTCCCATTTCCTTCAAAATTAGGAACTTCTGGGGAAGGACATTGTGGATTTCTGTCACCCAGAGGACCAGCAGCTTTTGCGGGACAGCTTTCAGCAGGTAAAGCCCTTAAAGTACCCCCTCTTTGTGTGGTGTGGTGTTGAAATTAGACTCTGTCTTGGTGCTTGCAAAACAATGAAACATAACTGGAAAAAAAAGAAAACCAACTGAAGAATAAACCTTAGGAATGGCAAGCAGCTACAGATCTAGTCACAAAACTGCAGTAGTGTAAAACAGAACAGAAGCATCTGATGTCTGACTTTTGAATTCATCCTCTGGTTGCTGGTCCAGTCTGCTTTTAGGGCCAGAGACATGCTTACAAAGAGCCTACTCCAACATGCTCCTGTGGCTGAAACACTGGTTCATCCCTAGGGCCCAGCCCAGTGCTGCAGAGCTCGGAATGGATGTGATTTGTTTGCCCTGTTGTGGTTACTCTTATTTCTGAGGGCGCTGGACTTTGTGGCAGGGCAGGTAAGACTGCCCCATGCTTTCATGATTCCAGACAAGAGCTGCTCATATCCATTCGTCCCAATAGCCGGGAGCAGAAGCAACGCTGCGTGCTTCTTTTGCTGCAGGTTTTCTCATACATCTCACCAGTGCAAAGAGATAAGAAAAGCAAAAGCCACAGTGGTGATGTCAGATTTCCCCTCCCATATCATTCGGGTCTCGGGGTAGCGTGAGGGAATGGCAGCAGTGCTGCTCAGCTGTCAGGAGGTGAGGGATGGTCTGGTAGGGATTCAGGCAGAAGGGCCATCACAGCTTTTAGTGGGGGGTGGCTCAGAAGCAAGTTGCTCTTCAACCCCTTCTTTTATCAGGTCCTACTGATGGCATTACGTTTTTTTAGGTGGTGAAGTTAAAAGGCCAGGTTCTGTCAGTCATGTTCCGATTCCGATCCAAAAACCGGGAATGGCTCTGGATGAGAACCAGCTCCTTTACCTTCCAGAACCCCTACTCGGATGAAATTGAGTACATCATCTGTACCAACACCAACGTCAAGTATGTACATGGAAATGACTTGCCACCCCCCAGTGGTAGCACACGAACCCGATGGGATCTCGCCCCAGAATAAACAGCAGCACAGAACCGCAGGAGCTTTGGCCTCTCCCTCACCAAGCTTCCCATCAGAGTGTGTGTGTAGGCACTGGAGAAGCTAGGAAATCCCTGAGTGCTCTTTTCCTGGGCTGTGGCAGATGCTAAAGGACTGCAGGGTGCAGGAAAAGCCCTTTGGCTGTCTCAGTGGTAGGGCTCAGCTCCAGCAGCGCCTCGGTTCACCCTGATTATTGGAGCAAGTTTCTGTCTGTGTGTTTGCATTCAGAGCTCTGATATTAGTAGAGCTCACATCTGAATGCAGTTCCTGCTGTCCCATCCTGGAGGGCAGCTGCTCCAGAGTGGCTTTTCCCATGAGCAGGACAGTTGATGGTAGAAAGTTAAATGCTTATTTTTTCTCCTGTAGTTTGTGCTTGGATTCAGAAGGAGCTCCTGAGCCGTGCTTGGGGCAGACTGCCCTCACTGCTGCTCTCTTCTTTTGCCTCCTGTCTGTCTCGTTGTGTTGGCAGCACACAGTGCTCCATCAGAGTGCTGCTTGTCCCCTGGAGGAGCTGCAAGGCCCTTACAGAGCAGCAGCAACTGAAACAAAAGGAAAAACACCTCCTGGCTGTGGTTCGTAGCTTCAGGCCTGGCTGTATCTCAGCTGGGACCTCTGCTAGTCAGGCAGGATTGCTTGTGCCTGTGGGCAGGTGGAAAGAAAGGCAGGATTTGGGTTTTATTTGAGGTGAGGAAAGAACCAGGAGCTCAGGTAGCACTTCTTCCTTCCCCCCAGTGGAACAGTGCTGTGTTGTGATGAGAAAGCATTGAGCTGAGCAGTGTCAGTCAAATCCCTTTGGCTTTAAAGAGCCCTGGTCTGAGTGCAGGGCTGTGTGCCATGCAGGCCTTCATTTCTGTCCTGGAATAGAGATATCTCTTTGAGCTCACTCATTCCACACATATCCATTCTCACATCCATACTCACACCTTCTAAAAGTGCTGTTCAGGCTCAGGCTGGGGTGCAGCAGTCTGTGTTTGTGATGCAGTTTATCCGTGTGCATCTCTGCTGGGTTATTGGTGTGACGTTGTTCCTTCTCCAGGATCAGGCACTGCTTCAGAACCAGCAGCTTGCAAAAGAGCTGCTGAGAAAACGCTGCACCTCTGCTCCTTTCTTCTAGGAGGAAAATGACTTCTGAGAGTTAACAGAAGAGTGTAAAGAACTCCACCAGTGTGTGGGTCAGAGGCTTAGAAGTGCTGTGGTTTCTGCAGGCTCCAGCTCTGGAGTGGTGTAGATTTAAATGGAAAACTCTGGGGCCTTTGTAGGCCCCTCCAACCTTTGCTTGTGCTGTAGCAGTAGCACAGAAGTGGTGTAGGCTGCTTCCTGCTCTGGTTTGGAGGGGGCAGAGCCCATGGATCCTTAAATTGTGTTCCATGGCCAGCCCTGCTTTCGGGGACAATGGAAGCTGGGAGGAAGGATCCTTCACTTGAAGAGCTTTTGCAAAACCAGCTCCATTCCTGCCTGATACAGACATGTCCTCCTGCAGGCAGCACCCAGCTGTTTGCTCTCATTTGGTAGTTTTTAAATCTGTTTTTTTTTTTTTCTTTTTTCCCTTTTTCTTTGCATTAAAGGAACTCAAGCCAGGAATCTCGACCTGCCCTATCAAACCCAATGCAGAGGCCCCAGCTGGGGCAGAGTGTCAGCCTTCCCCTGGAGATGGGCACAGCACAGCTGCCCTCAAGGTCAGGAGGTGCTCAGCTCCTTTTACTGTGCCTCTCTCACTGGTTCTGCCCTCCTATCCAATAGCTTTCCTCCCCAAACGTTCCTCTCTGCAGCAGTGAACTCCTCTGGGCTCATCAGCCATTGGTGTAACCGCAGAGGATCCGTGCCCTCAGCAATGGTTTTTAGCAGCCACTCTTCTCCTGTTACAAACACTTTCTATTTTAGGCAGCAGCAGCAGCAGCCACAACAGACAGAGTTGGAAGTGGTCCCAGGAAGAGAGAGCCTGTCTGGCTACGACCAGGTAAATGCTGGGGGCTTTGGTTGCCCCTCTCATGTTATTCAGATCCACCCCTTTTCCTGGAGGTGGCTGTTTAGTTTGAGCTGAGGTTGGGTTTGGATAAGAAGATGTTCTCAGCTCCTCCCTGCCCCCTGGCTTCTCTTGGCTGTTCTGTCCTGATGGAAGCAGCCTGGCCTGCAGGGCTGCCCTGCTCTGTGCTGCTGTGCTCAATGCTTCCACTCATCCCTGTTCCCAGGTTCCTGTGCAGCCCGTGACTGCTGCTGGCCCAGAGCACAGCAAACCACTGGAAAAGGCAGAGAGCCTCTTTAACCAGGAGAGGGACCCGAGGTTTGGGGAGATGTACAGCAGCATCAATGCAGGTAGGGAGTGCTGGGACACACAGCACATTCATCTGACTTAGGTTTGGCTCTGGGTATTCTCTGCCCCCATGTGGGTTGGTTCTGAAGGTGGAAGGTGTGAGTTCTTTAACCCTAGGCTGAGTGCTTTAACCCCAGAGAACCACAATTCAAAGCTTATTAGAAAATGGAGAGAAAATCAAATTAATTGGGCTCTTATAGGGCTGTCTGGAGTCCCACATCTGCATGAGGAACAGTTGTGCTCAATGCTTTGCCTCAGAACTGTTCCTTCCCGTGGGCTCACTCTGAACCTCTCTCTGCAGACCAGAACAAAGCCATTCCTGCCAGCTCAGTGCCTGCCAACCCCACCCTCTTCCCACAGGGAAACACTTTCACACCATCACGGCCCGCTGAGAACTTCAGGTGAAGTTTCCTGTCCTGCATTTTTCAGTGACCTCCTTTGACTTTTTCCCTTATCCCGCTGTTGTTCCCATTCTGTTTCTGCCACCCTCTGCAAATGCTCTCAGCCCCTCAGAAATGCAGGGGGGAACCCATGCAGGCGTTGGGGGTACAGAGGAGGGGAAGAAAACTTTTCCTGTGTGCTCACTGCCCTGCTGGTGCTGCCTTGGGCCCGAGGAGCCCTGCAGGACCATCAGCTGCTGCTATTCAGGTCCTCCCCATCACTTTTACCTTCCCAGCCTTATTTTTTCCCCCTGGTGTCCCTCTGCTGACTGAAATTAGTCTATGGGGTGGCTGCACCTTTGGATGTGTGTAGGGTGTTAGCTCCAGAACTGAGCTGGATGAGCTGCTGCTGGTTGTGTCTGCAGTCCACGGGCACTTTGGGGGAATTGCTCCAGCTTTTTGTGCTGCCTTTTTCCCCCCCACCAGCAGCTCGCACGGGCGGTGTCTGTGCTCGCTGATCCTCTCTGTGATGCACGAAATCCATCTGAGGGCCTTTTCCTCCCCCAGGAGCAGCAGCATGGTGCCTCCAGTGAACATCATCCAGCAACAGCCGGCGGCATCGGGCCGGATCCTGGCTCAGATCTCACGCCACGCCAGCCCTGCTCAGGTCAGCGGGAGCAGTTGGGCTGCCGGGACCCGACCGGCGTTCACAGCCCAGGTAGCAAAGCCCAAACCCTCAGCTCAGGGCTGAGCTCTGCTGGGTGCTTCTGCTGCTTGCTTTGAGGTCAGAACGGCTTGCAGAGCTGCGGAGCCAACGGCTGCTGGGTTGCATTGCTGGGCTGCCCCACGCTCCTCCTGTTGGCCCCACGCTTCTCTGCAGTTTTTGGGCTTCAATGAGCTCCTTTCTGGTGTTTCCAGTGAGGAAATACTGGAAGGAGAAGAGATTAGAGGGAGAGAATGTGTTAGCTGCTCTGATTGAAGCACTGTAGGACCGTTTCCCTCCTCCTGTATCGCTGCTGGTTGCTGTTTGGGTTCCTGCAGGCAGAGATGAGAGCTTGCAATGAAGAACTGCTCAGCTCAGCAGAAATGGGGGGAGGGCACTTTTGCTGTGCATGCAGACATGAGCCAGGCCAGCAGCGCCTCACCCTGGTTCAGATCAGGGTCCAAGTGAACACATCTCTCCTTTCCTCCCCCCATTTCTTGCTGTCTTACAGCAGGTGGCTTCCCAAGCAGTGAAGACTCGGCCGCCTTCCTTCAGCATGGGGACTTTCCAGGGCACCCCGTCCTCCTTCAGCCCCATGGCAGCTCCAGGCTCCACAGCTTCCCCCAGCAGCTCTGCATACCCAAACCTCTCTGGCCGTGGCGTGGGCTTCAGTGAGTGCAGCATGGGGTGCTTTGGGGAGGTGTTGGGGTGCAGCCCCTCATAAAACACAGCCCGGGTGCACTCAGTGCTCTCTGTTTGTTGGTGATGTGTGGATGCTGAGCACAGCTGTCTCCCTGTTGCCCTTAGCAGCCCAATCTGCCATCTCAGTGTGGTGATGGTTTCAGGTGAACCTCTCATCAATTTTGGGGCTAATTGAGAGGAAATGGAGAGCTCTGGAATCCCCCCCACACACACACCTCAATCTGTGTGATGGCTCAGTGCTTTCTCCTTGGGGGACATCTCCTGTTATCCACATGACAGCTCAGCAAGCTGTGTGCTTAGGAATGCAGTCCCAGGGTGATTGCAAAGAAACAACCATTATTACAGCAGGAAACTTTTGCTGATTCCATCCCTATTGAACAGCCACAGATGCAGCTCAGACCCCCACCCCGTTCCAACCCCGGGCAGCAGCTGAAGGAGTGGGGATGTGGCCACAGTGGCAAGGACAGCATCACAGCACAGCACCTGGGGAGCAGCACGTGCAGCAGCCCAGCCAACCCGAGGCCTTCTCAGTAAGACTGTGCTTTGTTCCCCTCCTGAGTGAAGACGTGTGGGTCCATCTCCCCAGATGGGATGAGTGGTTTTTCTCATCTTGTGGGTGCTCAGTTGCTCATCCCTCCCATCTGTGGGTTCCAGGAAGGGCTGGAGTTTAGGGGGTCACTGGTGGGGCTGCAGCCAGGGGGCAGAGCTGCTTTGCATGGTCAGCTTTGTGTCCTGCTCTGTCCCATAATCAGTGTGAAATCCCACCAGTTCTGCTGCCATGTTAACCCTTCCAGCTCTCATTTAAAGAAAGCAAGCAGCAAAAATCCCCATAATCTGAAAAAAAACAAACCCAAACCCAAAACAAAACAAACCCTAAAGATGCAGAACTGAGCTGTGGAGATCATAGAGTCACAGAACTGCCCAGCTTGGAAAAGATCTCCAAGTTCACCCAGTCCAACCATCCCCCTCTCCACTGCCCCACATCCCTCAGCACAGCATAGAAATGTGGGGATGGGGTCCTGAGCACAGAGAGCTGAGCCCCTGGGGGTGTGGGATGGGGGATTTGGGGTCCTGGGAGCACAATGACAGAGTTCTGCTGTGCTGTTCTCACCCAAACTCTCTTCTTCTGCCCCACAGGACATGCTGACCATGCTGGGAGACCAAGGCCCCAACTACAACAACGAGGAGTTCCCCGAATTGAACATATTCCCTTCTTTTTCAGAATAAAACTCGAGCTCCTGGGGAAGAGCAACTCATAGCTGTAATATAAATCTTCACGTGTAAAGGAAAAAAAAAAAAAAAAAAAGAGGCACCCCAGTCTGATGGGGTTCAAAGACTGCTGAACTTTCTCAACTCTTCTTTACCTTCTGGAGGCTCAGTGCTGCCTGGGGGCACTCAGCATCACAACACAGTGCTCCCCAGTGCCTGGAGGATTTCAGACTGAAGGACTGCTGCCCACCCCCTCCTTTATTCCCCCCCCCTCACCCTCCAGATTCATGAGGTGGCTTTTCCTGTTTGTATTTCCATCTTCTATACCGTGACTCTTTTCTATAAAAACACAAAACGACGTTTGGTGCCTCTGCTGCCACAAAGGAGCTCTTCTGCTGTGCAGGGTGGGGTTGGAGGACCCCTGGGGGGGGGAGGAACTGTGTGGGGGAGTCTCCTGGATGTGGAGCTGGGATGAGCAGAGCTGGGGGGGGGGCATCCTTAGAGCTGCCAGTAGTGAGAGGAGGGCCTTGAATCTTCTATTGTTGCCACATTGCAGTGGTGGGCACCCCCAGGAGCTGCTTCTGCTTCCTCCTCCTCATGCTGGGGGGCACAGAGCTGAAATCCTTCCAAAAGACAAAGGATCTTCCCAGCCTTTCCTTTGGGGCTGCTGTGTGTCTCTGTGCCCCCCACCCTGGGCTCAGTGGGACCCCCTGTGACCCCCCCCCCGTCCCCATACACACACATTTTTGTCACCCTGTGGTCACATGCACCCCAGTCAGAGCCCCGTGCTGAGCTGACTCAGTGCTGCTTCTCAGCACTGATGGAGGAACAGCTCAGCCCTGGGGGGGAGGGGGGGGGGTCTGTCCGTCTGTCTGTCTGCCCCCCACAGCCCCACACTGGGACTCTTCATCCCCATCTGGGGGGGAGGAGTGGAGAGGGGGGTGACTGCACTGTGTGACCCCCCCCCCCTGTGGGGTAGTGAGTAAAGGGGGGGTGGCACAGAACTGCAGGAGGGAGAGCACTGCCTGCTCCCCCCAGGGCTGCTGCCTGGACCCCCATCATTGCCCCCCTCCCCCCCCAGGGCATCCTGAGCCCCCCATGGGCAGCAGTGACCCCACGCAGCGTTGGTAACCCATTGGGTTCCCCTCTATGGGGTGACAGCAGCATCATGTGAAAATATTGGGGGGGGGGGTGTCTGCCCCTCCCCCCTCCCCCTTTCCTCTCAGTCTCCTCCCTCCCTTCGATGCTGTTTGGTCCCACTGCCAACGTTTTCCAGCTGCCTTCACTTCCTCAATCCGACGCCATAAAAGAGCCAACGAAGCAGCAGCAGCTCCGTCCCGTCCTCACTGAGGTTCCATCACTGACAGAGCGATGCTGCGGTGAGGCTGGGGGCTGCTGTGCCTCCCCCCCCCTTCCCCTACCCCACCCCCAGGGAAGGGCAGCCCAGTGGGGTTGGGGGGGAAATGGGGTCGATGTGGCAACATCCAGAGCTTCTGCTGTTTGGGGTCAGGGAGGGGAAACTGAGGCACAGAGAGGGGTTGGGGGCTGCAGTGCTGTCTGCCCTATGCTGGGGGCTGTGGGTATGGGGGGGGTTGGGGGGGTTGAAGTGGGAGGGACTGCTGGTCCTCCCCCCTCCTTGCCCAGCCACGGGATGCTGATGTGGGTTCCAGCACAGCTCTAATGGGAACCAGCTGTCCCCGATCATGGGATGTTTGTATGCAGCCAGCGGGGCCAGGCCCACATCTGACAGTGTGTTGGGGGGAGGCTTTGGGGTCCTGATTCCCAAATCTGACAGTGTGTGTGTGGGGGGGGTCCTGATCTCCCCCCCCTGCATGGTGAGGAGTGCTGAGGGTCCCCTATAGCCAACACTGCTGCAGCTCTGGGCTCTGTGTCCCCACGGAATCCGCTCCCTGGAGCTGTGGGATGCATGGGATGCTGCCCCCCCATCCCATTCCCAGCACTGCCAGGCTCAGACCAACCCCCCCCACCCTCATCCTGCTGCCCCCCAGGCCCGCACTGCTGGCACTGCTGCTCCCCATGGCTGTGGCACAGCTGCGCCCCGAACCGGAGCTGGACGCCCAATGGAACCTTTGGAAAAGAAAGTACAGCAAGCAGTACAACGGCAAGGTGTGGGGCTTGGGGGGATGGGAGGGGGGGCTGCAGGATGGTGGTGTCCCTATGGGGTCGGTGTTGGGATGAGGGTGGTGTCCGTCTGTCCGTCCGTCCCAGCGCCGTCTCATCCCAGGAGGATGAAATATCCCGGAGATTGATTTGGGAGAAAAACCTGAAATACATCAACGCCCACAATGCAGAACACGAGCTGGGAAGGCATTCCTTCCAGCTGGCCATGAACCATCTGGGGGATTTGGTGAGTGGGGCCGGGGGGGGGCAACAATGGGGGCAGGGGTTGGGAAAACAGTGGGGCAGCAATAGGGACGGCGATGGGGACGGTGATGGGGGCAGCAATGGGGACAGAGGTTGGGAAAACATTGGGGCAGCAATGGGGACTGGTGGGGACAATTGGGACTGAAGTTGGGACAGTGGTTGGGAAAACAGTGGGGGCAGCAGCGGGGAGAACGATGTGCACTGTAATGGGGGCAGCAATAGGGTCAGCAATGGGGACAATTGGGGACAATTGGGACAGCAGTGGGGATGGTGGTTGGGTCAACGATGGGAGCAGAGGTGGAGACAACAATGGGGACCGTGATGGTGGCAGCAATGGGGACAAGTGACAGCGGTGGGGATGGTGATGGGGACAGCAATGGGGACAGCAGAGGGGAAAGTGGGGGTAGCAATAGGGACAACCGTGGCACCCTTTGGTGCTGCTGAGCCCCAGGGCTGCTCCACCCCCAGACCAGTGAGGAGGTGGTGAGGACGATGACGGGGTTGAGGGTCCCCCGGAACCGCCCGCGCCCCAATGGCACCCTGTACATCCCCGACTGGACCAGCAGAGCCCCCCCGGCTGTGGATTGGAGACGGAAGGGTTACGTGACCCCCGTTAAGAACCAGGTGAGCACAGTGCTGATGGGGGTCCGCGCTGCGTGGTGGCCCCCTCCCCACGTCACCCCACGGTGTCACCCCGCATCCCCGCAGGGGCAGTGCGGTTCGTGTTGGGCTTTCAGCTCGGTGGGAGCTCTGGAAGGGCAGTTGAAACGTCGGACGGGGAAACTGCTTTCACTCAGCCCCCAAAATTTGGTGGATTGCGTCTCCAACAACAACGGCTGCGGGGGGGGTTATATGACCAACGCTTTCGAATACGTCCGGCAGAACCGTGGCATCGACTCGGAGGATGCGTATCCCTACATCGGGCAGGTCTGGTGGTGGGGTTGGGAGGCACCCTCTGGGTTCATGGTCCCGTGGTTCATTCGGCCCTGTGGGTCCTGCAGGATGAGAGCTGCATGTACAGCCCCACCGGGAAGGCGGCCAAATGTCGGGGCTATCGGGAGATCCCTGAGGGCAATGAGAAGGCTCTGAAACGTGCTGTGGCCAGGATTGGGCCCGTCTCGGTGGGCATCGATGCCAGTCTGCCCTCCTTCCAGTTCTACAGCCGCGGTGAGGAGCGGGGGGACCCCAATCGTGGGGGGCAGTGGGGGAAAATGAGGCATGGATGGGGTGAAGGGTTGAGGGGAAGCATCTGTTGTGGGGAAACTGATGCATGGAAGGGATGAAGGATGGGGGAACCCCTCTGTTTGGGGTCGGTGGGGGTAACTGAGACACGGATGGGGTGAGGGATGAGGGAACGCCTCTGTTCAGAGGGAAACTGAGGCACGGAGCTCTGCGACCACCCCCCCCCCAACCCCCATAGGTGTGTACTACGACACGAACTGCAACGCAGAGAACATCAACCACGCGGTGCTGGCGGTGGGATACGGCGCACAGAAGGGCACCAAGCACTGGATCATCAAGAACAGGTATGGCAGAACGGGACCCCCACCCACCCATCTTCAACCCCCCCCCCAGTCTTGGAATGGTCGAAGCAACAACTGATGCTGCACCCCCTCTTGCACAGCTGGGGCACGGAATGGGGCAATAAGGGCTACGTGCTGCTGGCCCGCAATATGAACAACGCCTGCGGCATCGCCAACCTCGCCAGCTTCCCCAAAATGTGAGCGGTGCCAACGTCTGTCTGCAGGAGTGGGGCTGGGGGGCTGGAACCCCCCTCCCCCCCCCCAAGTATATCTCATCTCTGCGTCCTTTGGGGGATGCGGAGGGCGATGGGGTTTTGTTTTTCAAATAAAAGTGGTTGGGGAGAAAGCTCTGAGCGTGGAGAATCTCTTCATTATGGGATGGGCAGAGGGGGTGCGCTGGGGCTGCTCAGTGGAGAGGGGTCTGGGTGGTGGTGGATGAGTGGGAGGGTAGTGGGTTGTTTCCCCCCAAATGTCCCCTCCTGCTCTCCTTATCGACACAAAATGTATTCTTTGTGGGTGACCTCATTCTGTTGGGGTGAAAAACAATGATTTTGGTCAAGCAGAGAGGAAAAAAAAGAGGACTTTTCTACACTGGGATTTTGTGCCCGTAAAGAGAAAGGGTCAACTTTGGTCAAAGTGAGCAAAAAAAAGGTGATTTTTTTTGTACAGCCCCTTTGGTCAAACCAAGTGAAAAAGCAGTGATTTTTGGCCAAGTCGAGCAGAAAAAGTGATTTTTGCATGCGCTCGTTTGGGTCTCGTGGTGATAAGAGGTGATTTGGTGAGGAGCGGATCGGATGCGCTCCGCCAATGGGAGCGGATGGGTCGGGCATGCTCAGCAAAGTGAAAATGAAATCAAAGCATTTCCTCATTTCTGGGCTCATGTGATTCACTGCGCACTGCGGGCGGTGGGTGCGAGGTGTGGGGACGACGTGGACCCCCGTGTGCCCCCCAGACGTGGCTGTGCTCCCCCACCACCATCGGGCCCTGCTGAGGTTTGTGGGTTGCGTTCGCGGTGTGGAGCTCCAGGAGCGCTGCGTGATGGGGAAGTGAAAGTGTGGGGTGCAGCCCCATCTCCTGCCTGGATCCACCAAGGGGGGGGGGACAACAACAGCCCCTCCTGGGGAGATGGGTGGCAATGGGGCTCTCATGGCTTTGCCTTTTTTGTTTTTTTTGGTCGGTGCTGGAAAATCACAGGTTTGTGTGAGCAGCCGTGGGGCGCACAGAGCGCCGTGGGGAGGGAAGGAGGGTGGTGCTCAGTGGTTGTGTCTGTGTGTCTGATGTGTCTGTGTGTCTGATGCGTCCGTGTGTCCAGATGTGTCCCCGTGTCCAAATACATCCCTGTGTCTGGACATGTCTTCGTGTCTCGGTGTGTCCCTCTGTCCAGACGTGCCCCTGTGTCTGGCTGTGTCTGTGTGTCCAGCCACCTTTCTGTATGCAGATGTTTCCCCCCTCTGTGTGACACCCGACCAACCTCCCCCCGAGGGCTCTTTGAGTCCATCCCAGAACTGTGGTGCTGTGGTCAGGATGAGGCGGTCGGCATCACCCTGTGATGACAACCCGACCCGCTCCTCCCTCACCAAACCGGCTCTGTCACACAGTGCTCACACTCAGTGCTCACACTCAGTGCTCACACGCAGTGCTCACACGCAGCCCCACTCTGCTGTGCAATATGGAGCTGCTGCGCTGCATCGCTGCCCTGGTCACTCTGGTGGCTGTGATGGGGCACCCGGACCCTACGCTGGATCAGCACTGGCAGCTCTGGAAGAAAGTCCATGGGAAGGTGTACCGCCATCAGGTATGGGGTGAAGTTGGCAGTGGGGGGCACAGCAGCTGCCCTGGGGGTTGAACTGTGGGGTTGGGTTTGGTTTCAGGTTGAGGAAGGGCAGCGCCGTGCAACGTGGGAGAAGAACCTGCGCCTGGTGATGCTGCACAACCTGGAGCACTCCCTGGGGCTGCACTCCTACCAGCTGGGCATGAACCACCTGGGGGATATGGTGAGAGGGCACTGTGGGATGGGGCAGGGAAAGCCTTAATGGTAAGGGTTGTCCATGGAAGGGTGGGGTCACCATCTTTGGAGGGGTCCGAGAAGCACGGAGATGTGGCACTGGGGGACGTGGATGGTGGGGGTGGGTTGGGTTTGGAGATCTTGGAGGTCTTTTCCAGCCTTAATGGTTCTGTGAGTGGGAGCAGGGGGATGGATTGGGGTTGGATGGTGGTCTTGGAGCTCTTCTCCAACCGTAACGATTCCATGACTCTTTGAGTGGGCATGGCAGTGGTGGTGTGATGGTTGGACTGATGATCTTGGAGGTCTTACCCAAGCTTAACAATTCCTTGACTCTATGAGTGGGCAAGGCAGTGGTGACAATGGTGCAGTGATGGTTGAACTCTAGGATGTTGCTGGTGTTGTCCAAACTTAATAATTCCACAGCTCCATGAGCGGGCATGGCGGTGGTCGTGTGTTGATGGTTGGATTTGATGATCTTGGAGGTCTTTTCCAACCTTAATGAGTCTGTGATTCATTCCATCCTCTCCTCGTGGCCTCCCATGGGCTCGCAATGCCACACTGCCTGTGTGAAGCAATGGGGTGTGAGGAAATCTCCCTCTTAATGCAGTGTTTGTGGTGTGTGGACCTGGTCCTGGCCATGACGTGTGTACAAATTGTACCCACTCCGTTCCCCGGGGCTGTGGGGTGGTTCCATGAGACACAGAGCTGCTGAAGCCCAGCTTCGCGCTTTCTATTTCTTGCCCATTCCAGTGAATGGTTGAGACTTAAATACCCATATATCTATTTAAAGAAAAAACCACAGATCTCCCCCAAAACCTTTAACTTCCACATCTCAAGGGAAACTCACCCCCCACGTGTTCCGTGTGAGTCCTATCAGAGGGAGGGACGTCACGAGTTGGTGCTTCTCCTCCCAGACCAGCGAGGATGTGGCTGAACTCCTAACGGGGCTCCGTGTCCCCTATGGGCACAACAGGATCTCCACGTACCGCCAACGCGGCGGAGCCCCGGATGCCATGGACTGGAGGGAGAAGGGCTGTGTCACGGAGGTGAAGAACCAGGTGGGAAGCTTTCCCCATCTCATCCCGTCCTGCGGTCCTGAAGGCAGTGCTGAGCACCAATGGGGGTTCTTGTAGGGTGCCTGTGGGGCGTGCTGGGCGTTCAGTGCTGTGGGAGCCCTCGAGGCTCAGGTGAAGCTGAAAACGGGGAAGTTGGTGTCGCTGAGTACCCAGAACCTGGTGGACTGCTCCATGATGTATGGCAACAAGGGCTGCAGTGGGGGCTTCATGACCAGCGCCTTCCAGTACATCATAGACAACAATGGGATCGACTCGGAGGAATCCTACCCCTACATGGCTCAGGTAGGCAGCACTCTTCAAGGGAAAGGAGAACCAAGGTGGCAACTCCTCCAGTGAATGACATTTGTATAGCTTTTTGATAAGTCACCCGTAGCAATGCTGTCCCCATGCTGTGTCACATTGCTGAGCCATGACCAAATTAATGTCCCAATGTGGAGAGTCTGGATGTCAAAAGACAAAACCTAGAATGACCTGAAATGACTCAGAGGCTTCAAAACAGGGACAGGAGGTCAAAGGGACAGCTGTAAGGAGAAGTGGTCCCTTCCAATGCAACCGTTCCAGAACTTTATGGTTCTCTGGTCTCTGAGGTCTCTTCCAACCCAACCATGCTGTGATTCCAGGGTTCTGTGATCTTCAAGATCCTTTCCAACCCAAACATTCTAAAATTTTGACTTTAAGGTCTCTCTGAACCCAACCACTCAGTGGTTCTGCGATTCTATAGTCTTTGAGGTCCCTTCCAACCCAACTGTGCTGTGATCCCATGGTTCTGTGCTTCTGTGATTCATCCATCTACTCCATAATTCTGTGTACAGAAAAATGATGGTCAAAGAGAAGCAAAGAACGGGGTAGTGTAAGGTAAAAGGGTTGAAGCACCTGAAGGTTTCGAGGTCTCCTGGTGGTTTCCATGCCTTCCTCTTGCTCCCACCAGAATGGGACGTGCCACTATAACGTTTCCACACGTGCTGCCACGTGCTCCAAGTATGTGGAGCTGCCATATGCAGATGAAGCTGCCCTGAAAGATGCTGTTGCCAACGTTGGACCTGTCTCTGTCGCCATTGATGCAGCACAGCCCACGTTCTTCCTGTACCGGTCAGGTATGACCCTTTCCCCTTTACCTGGGGCCATGCAGATCCACAGCCATGCTTTGTCTTCTGTATCTCTACGTGTAAAGCTGATGGAACTGAAATCTGGGCTGAATTGGGCAAATTGGGGTGTAGGGCTCAGATGGAGGCGCTGGTCAGCGTTGGTCCTGCTGAGCGTGTGGGGCTGATACTGCACTCCCTCCGAGCTCTGCTGCTTTGCAGGAGTGTACGATGACCCACGCTGCACACAGGAGGTGAACCATGGCGTGCTGGTAGTAGGATATGGCACCCTCAATGAGAAGGACTTCTGGCTGGTGAAAAACAGGTGAAGGGTGCTGCGGGTGTGCAGTGGGCTCCTCGCGGGCAGCCTCCCTTCATCCACTGATCTGATAATATCTGGTGTTCATAGAATCATAGAATCGCTCAGGTTGGAAAAGACCTTAAATGTGATTGAGTCCAACCATGACATGAACATGCCCTGTTCATACAGAGCAGAGTGCAGTGGGGCTGTCACTGTGTGACAAAGTCAGTTTCAGTCCTCGTGTCGTTCCTCATGGTTTGTGCTCAGCCGTGTCAGAGCACCCCAATGTCCTTCTGGCAGCCAGAAGGGACTCAAAATGCCTTTAGGACACTTCACACCCTCCAAATTCGCCTTATGAAAAAGAATTTTGGGAGTTCAAAATGCCATTCAGAGGTTGATGAAAGCACTGCAGAACGGTTTCATTGCTGTCTGTAAAAAGCTGTGGCAGAGACATCAAAAACATTGGGGTGCTGGCAGCACTGATGCTTTGCAGAGAAAGGAATCTCACTTTTCTAACCTATTTGTTTCCTCTCCCAAAAGTTGGGGCGAACACTTTGGTGACGGGGGTTACATCCGCATGTCAAGGAACCACTCGAACCACTGCGGGATCGCCAGCTATCCCTCGTACCCACAGATATAGGAGCACCCCCTCTGTCCTTTGGGGAGGGCTCCGTCTTCGGTCCCTGCTTCTGTCAATCACTGCCTACAAGAATCAGCTTCTGTCTCTACGGGTGCAGTTCTCTGTGTGGAGCTGGTGGGAGGATTTTACAGGACGGTTTACACGCACCCGCTGACTGCTTCTTGGAGGAGAAAAAAAAAAAAAAAGGTGATTTGTCCTTTTTTCCCCATAGTAAAATTGCAATGCCAACAGTTGTTAAAACGGAGATTTCGCCTTCCTCTCTGGTTGCTGCGGTGACGCGGCTGTGATTTTGTCTCTGCGTGATATCTATGAAAATGCAGATTTTTGTTTGGAAAAAAAAAAAAATAAAAGATCAGTTTCAGTGATCTCCCAAATCCTGTGTGTGGGATCCGGAGGCACACAAACGTGTGCCAGAAGGAACTTCAGCTGTGCACTTCCAGCTCTGCTGTTTCCTTTTCCCTCCACTCCGCCGATCGCTGCTGGGATCTGCCTGCTTGTTGTCTTTAGCAGCAATGCTGGAGCTTGTTTGTCCGTGCTTTGGTAACTTCACAGCATCCTAGAGAACTCTCAAAGCTCCTCAGTGTGTTCTGGGATGACTTCGAGGCTTCTGAGACCCCCTCAGTCTGCTCTCAGGGTACCCCAGAGATACCCAGATCTTGTAGGCATCCCTTAGGACACAACAGACACTTCCAAGTACCCCCTACTGTACTCTAGGGCACTCTAGAGTACTTCCAGACCTCCCCTATTTGCTCTTGGGTGAATTAGAAGTTTCCCCACGTGCCCTAGAGGTCTCCAAGGGCTCCCCATTCCCCACCTCATCCTGCCTCCTGCAACACTCCTCATCACACCACAGCACCTCCAGAGGAAAAGCACAAACCCACGTCCAACCCGGAGCTGCAGTGGGATTCACTCACAGCAGGGAAGCACTGAACGACAGCCTGGAGTGGCTGGGCCAGCTCGTGCCAAGTACCAGTCCTACAGGGAGAAAAGGAATGAACCCTGCAAAGCCAATTCTGCTCCCCACACTTCCACTGCTTCTCCTCTTCTATTCTTCCTGTTGGAATAATGTATGGATTTATTTTCCCATCTGCACACCCCTCAGCTGCTCCTGGAGGCACCTCCCAGTAACAGAAAGGCAGGCTATTTTCAGGGTATTTATTACAAAATCCTCCGTACCTCCACACACCTCAATCTTCACCAGAGCTACAAAAAAAAAACCCCAAACCAGCAACTCTTCACTGCAATAAGATCGAGAAAAAAAAGCACAGCAGTGCCAGCAGAGCCAGCAGGGGATCCCTCTCACCAACAGGGCTGAAATGCAGTGCTTTGCAGGAGCTGATGATGATGATCTGAACACACCTGCTGCTCTGTGCTGTTCTGTCTGCTCTCTTCTGAGCTCTGGGGGTGCCGGGCCCATGGGGCCACTCTCAGTTCTTTTTGGTCTTGGGGGTGTCATATTTTCTCTTGCTTGAGTACCACAGCAGCAGTGGGATCCCAATGGAAGGCAAAGTCATCACACCGAAGGCTGCCCAGTCCAGCTGAAAGAAATCATTCCAAGTCAAAACAAATTGCACACAGCTTCGTCTCAGACCATCGGATCGCCCTCCCTCCTGCTGAAATCCTGCAGTGCTCCTCTGAGCTGGGATGAAACCCACTCCCTGTTCAGCGACGCCCTTCAGGACCACTGATGTGGATTAACTGCAATCCCACTCTGTGTGTGGGGGTTGAGCACAGTGCAATTTCAATCCCCAGCTCACAGATACTCACAAAATGAGGGGAGAACCTCCTGTCGAACTCACGCTGAGCCAGGATTCCTCCCTGCCCAGGAGCACTCGTGAAACCAACCTGAAAAAGGCAAAGGGAGAGGAATAGGATCTGCCACCTTCCCTCCTCACAGCAAAGCATGTGAATTTAAGACTGCAGGGACACGTAGCATCCCCCAACAAACAGGACATAGAAAGACAGCTCCACCATTCAGTGTGGGGAGAGATCCCATATGCAGCTGAGTCACTCACCACGACCTGTCCACCCTCCTGTGCCAGGTAGGTGATGGTAGCAGAGGTGAAGTTGAAATATCCAGCTTTGAGAGGCCGCAGAACCACAGTGTGGGACACATTGCTTGCTCTGAGGGCCACAAGTTAATGAAAACAGTGGTACTCCAAAGGAAGGGACATAAGGGTTTGGGTAAAAGGGCTCTCTGTAGTTACAGGTACCCAGACCCATTCAAAGCTGACCCAACCAACTCCCTTTTTCCCCAACCATATTAACTGCACGCTGATTTGGGTCTGTCTGCAAGTAAGTTTTGTATGTTTGCTTTTTAAGGCACCCTCAAGAGGAGAGGTTTGCACCCAACACCTCACCCCAGATCAGGCATGGTGTCATTTCCATGACACTGAAGGAGGACAGGAGAACTATGAGATGTTCAGGGGCAAAACTGAGCATTGGGAGGGAAAATAAATCCAAAACGTGGAAAGATACGGAGCAATTCTGTCCCACTTGACGTTGAGCATCCCAGAGACAATGCCAAAATCCTCCGGAGGGAAGGAATCATCCGACAGCTCCACATCTAAAGCAGCACTGAATGCAACAAGAAGAGAAAAAATGGGATAAGAAGCGAGTCAGAGCTCAGTGTTGTACTGAACGAAGGGTTGGCAGCCCCACATGATGGTTCAGCTGCTGGGAGAAGTGATTTGTGAAACAAAAAGGGCACAAAGAGAAGCAAGGGGGATGGGGTTGGTGTGTTACAAGGAGACTGCAGAAAGAGGAGAGCAAAACTGAAGCTGCAAAAAAGGGAACGGGACACAAAGAAAATGCTCACAAAGCAAAGAAAGATTCTGTGTGAACGGGCAGAAGAGCATCACGAGATGCTCCATGCCAGGCAGCCAGCTGGACACAACAAAAATAGAGACAACAGCACCGTAAGGAGGAAGCAAACTCAGCCTTCATGCACTGTGGTGAACTCCCAGTTGGGGAAGGAGGATAACAGTGCATCATGGAGCCCAGAAATCTTCACAGATCCTCCAGGCATACACACAGAACATGAGAAGCACAGAGCAGGCTTACCTGGAGCCAACGTTGTAGATGTTGTACTGCAGAGTGAGGTCTTTGCCCTCCACTGCATATCTGTTGAGCAGAGACTTGGAGGCCAGCAGCCTGGCACCCTCCTCACAGCGGGCCACATAAAAGAGGGCAAACACAGCAAGAATCAGGAGCTTCATCTGGAGGCAAAGGAAGACAGAATGGCATCAATAATTGCACTGCAAAGAAAACACAAACAGGACAACTGAAGGCAAGGCTGGCATTCACACAAAGCAGGATGTGAGCAGCTGTGTGCTTCACAGTGGTGTCGTGATTTCACAGAGCAGAAAAAACACCCAGTGCTCCATGCAGATCTGTGCATGTCTCTGCAATACCTGAATGCTCTCCTGTAGGAATGTCAATAAGGACACAGCAGCGGCCCAGATGGGCACACAGGGCAGAAAAGAAAGCAGTTTCTCCCTTTTCAGAGCCTTTTCAGAGTGTGTGCTGCTCCCATTTACAACACTTTGGTTATCAGCAAAGACTCCCAGTGACAAAACCCGTTCTGGAAGTTATGGCAGCTAATAGCTGCCCCAATTTTAGCAATGAACACTTAATTCACGGAATCACAGAAACACCGAGGTTGGAAAAGACCTATGAGATCATCCAGTCCAACCACCCACCCATCACCAATAGCTCTCACTAAACCGTGTCCCTCAACACAAAATCCAAACGTTCCTTGAACAGCTGCAGGGTCGGTGACTCCACCACCTCCTCGGGCAGCCCATTGCAGTGCCCGGCCACTCTTTTAGAGCAGTATTTCAAAGCATCCAGCCTAAATCTCCCCTGGGGCAGTGTGAAGTCATTCCCTTTCATCCTATCACCGTTACACAACAAATCGCTGCTGTGAAGCACAGCAGCATTGCACCGCTGCCTCACAAATGCAAACCCGCTCCTTCCTCACACCGGAACCACAGCCAGCGCCGCCTCCCCGCCTCCAGGACCGGCTCCTTTCCGTCTGCGGTGACGGAAGTTCACCCCACGCCGTTCAGCCCTCGGTTCTCCCCGCTCCGAACCACGTCGCATCGCCTCACCGAACACCGCAGCGGCCGCGGGGCGGACGGTGAAGGTCGCACAGCCGCTCAAGCTGCGGCCTTTACACCGGGCCGGGCGCTGGAGGCCTCACAACCCACAACCGGGTGCCCGGGGACCCGCCGTGCGGCCCCCAAACGCACCCAACACCACCCGGCTCCAACCACGAGGTCCGAGGTTACAGCACCAGCCCCGCTCCCCCCCTCCTTTCTCCCCCCGGCCGCCCCAGGAGCCCCGCGGAGCGCCCAACCTCCGCGCCGGCGGAAGGCCGAGTCAGCACGGAGAGACCGGAAGTCAGAAGGGGAAAGAGCGGAAGTCAGCAGGGGGAAAGCGGAAGTCGGTTGGGGAAAGAGCGGAAGTCGGCAAGAGAAAAGTAGGAGTCGGCGGGGAGAGACCGGAAGTCAGCTCAAAAGGATCGGAAGTCAGTTCAAAAGGACCGGAAGTCAGTTCAAAAGGAACGGAAGTCTGAGCGGATTGACCGGAAGTGCGCTGCAGACGGCAACGCATCGCCGGAAGTGCTGTAAGAAGGGGGGGAGAGAGAGAGAGAGAGAGAGCAGAGTCAGAGAACCACAGAATGGTTTGGGTTGGAAGGGACCTCAAGGATCATGGAGTTCCAACCCCACGCCGCACACAAAGCCACCAACCTCCACGTTTCACAGCAGCCCAGGCTGCCCAGGGCCCCATCCAACCTGGCCCTGAACACCTCCAGGGATGGATGCCCATCCACAGCCTCTCTGGGCAGCTGTTCCAGCACCTCACCACTCTCACAGCAAACAACTTCCCCCTGACACCCAACTGAAATCTGCCCTCCCTCAATTCCAGCCATTTCCCCTCGTCCTGCTCTCATCTCCCCTTCCCAAGAGCTGACTCCCCTCCTGTTTTTGGGCTCCCTTTAGTACTGCAGGCTGCAATGATTCACCCCGCAGCTTCTCTTCTCCGTGCTGAACAAGCCCAGCTCCCTCAGCCTGTCTTTGCAGGGAGGTGCTGCAGCCCTGCTCATCTCTGTGGCTCCTTTGGACCCCCTCCAACAGCTCCCTGTCTGGATGGAGCTGGGAGAGTGCTGCACGTGGGGCCTCACAGGAGCAGAGCAGAGAGGGACAATCACCTCCCTGTCCCTGCTGGCCACCCCTCTTCTGATGGAACCCAGGATCCCATTTGCTTTCCGAGCTGCAAAAGCAAAAGGGATTTAGGATACAAACCAGGCATTCAGAAGATGCTTGGATATTGTATAATTGGGATTTGCTATATGAGCACTTTGTGTACTGCGTGTCCACACGTGGAGCACAGCACACGGCCGGCACTTTGTGTCACCTGGATCCCCCGTTTTCACACAGAGGGGAGGTTCTCATAGCTGTCACTTCGGATGGGGACTTAGGAGGGAAAATGCCATTTTCACCCCAAATAGCCCCAAAATGCCACTTTAGGGGTGAAAGCAATGCCCTCCACGCTTCTCCCCTGCTGTGCTGGGGGTGGTTTTGGGGGAAATGAGAGGAATGGCCCCGTTTTGCAATGGGACAGAAGGGGCTGAGCGGGTGAGCGTCAGGATTGGAAGGAGATTTAGGGTAAAAAAACAGACATTTGGGGCAATGAATGACTGCCATTTATTTGCAAGGGAGGTTCTCATAGCTGTCACTTAGGGGATGCTGCATCCCCCGGAGGTTGGTGGCACTGCAGGCAGCATGCAGTGCTGTGTAGGTGACAGCAGCCTCTTGGGGGGCTGAGTGACCACATGGGGGCACACCTGGAGGAAGAGGAGGAGGAGAAGACAGCCAGGTTGCCTTTGGGGACACGCTGAGGTGCCCCTTCCCCTCTACTCACCCCCTCTGTGCTCTCTGATGGTGATGGTGGAGTACAGCACGTCCTCAGCACTCGGTGTCCCCGGCAGGACTGTGGGGACAAACTCATCCCCATCATTGCTGCTCTGTGGGCACCGTGCTGTCCCCAAGGGCTGCCACTCACCGTTACTCGAGGGGTCCGTGGTGAAAATGTGTGGGGAAGAAGGGCGAGGAGGGGGTGTGGGGTCCCTGGGGAGGGGAAAATGGATCATGGGGATAAGGGACAGATCCAAGGGATAG